AAAATACTATTTAGAACAATCATTTCATTTTATTCTGTGGGGGCCACATCTGGCTGTGCTCAGGGCTTACTCCTGGCTTTGCACTGAGAGATCACTCCCGGCAGGCTTGGGAACCATCTGGGGTGTTGGGGATTGAACCTGGGTTGGTTGCACGCAAGATAAGTTCCTCACCCACTATACTATTGCTTGGGCCCCTCACGATAATAACCTTAAATGAGAGAGTAGTGGGCCTGAGGGATGGTTAAGGAGCTATAGGTCATACCCTTGGTTTGAATTCCTAGCACCTCAGTGTACTGCAAGGGGTCACTCCTGAGTAGGGGGCCAGAAACACCATGTGAGAATAACAAACAAAAGCAAACAAGCATGAAAACCCAAGAGGGCAACATAAAACAAGTATCTTGTACACCACATTGCTACAACATCAATTTCCTGTTTTGAAAGATGAGTTTAAGGGGCTGGAGTGATAGCACAGTGGGTAGGGTGTTTGCCTTGCACGCGGCCAACCCGGGTTCGATTCCCAGCATCCAGCATCCCATATGGTCCCTCGAGCACCGTCAGGAGCAATTCCTGAGTGCAAGAGCCAGGAGTAATCCCTGTGCATCCCCAGGTGTGACCCTAAAAGAAAAAAAAAAAAAAAAAAAGACGAGTTTAAGCATCTTATCTCGCTGTTCTGAGCTTTATTTCAAGTGACCAAATGGTTCAGAGGAGGTGAGAAAGCTTTTCTGCACAGAAATTGGATTAATACCATGAGAAATAACAGCATTAGAAAATTATCAATATGTAATTCCTAGTAAAATAATCAATCTATAAAAATGGCCATTAGTGAATGGGAAACAATTCTTTGGGAAGTTGATGGAGAATTTTAAGGTGCAAGATCAGGTTTCTTAACCATAAAAATGAATGGAGCCAGAGACTACAATGGACAGCGAGGAGAATGGACCCACCAGCAAGACCTGGACTCCCAGGGAGGTGGGACCTTGGTCCTGACTAAGTCAGACCACAGAGATATGACGGTCATAGCCGACTGCTACAGTATGCCACTTACAGATGCTAAAACACATAGGCACATAATTATATGCATATTTAAAGATACACATTTATCCAACACACACTGAACACGTTACAGTGTGTACCTACATTGGGAAGAGGAAAAGTAACAGGAATCGGGAATCCAAAGAAAATTTTAGAGGCTGGAGAGGTGGCTCAGTGGTAAAGCACATGCCTTGCCTGCATAAGATCTGGGTTCAGTTCCCAGCAAGGCCCCAAAAATAAATTAAATAAGATTTTGAAAAATAAAGAAATGCCAGGGAGAGAGCTCAAAGGGCTGGAGCCCGTGTTTTGCATGCAGGAGCCCCAGGCTCGATCACGGGCACTCCCCCGATTGTCAACAAGACCCCACATCCCCCTCAGCTGGGTGAAACCCCAAAACCAAAAAGAAAATAAGAAAAAACGTGAAAGGGGCTCAAAATCAATGGATGGGGAGACCGCACTGTGCTCTATAAATCTGGGCTTAACTACTGAGAAATAAAAAGGCCAGAGAGAAAGTACAGGGCTGAAGGCTGCATTTAGCCTGGAACTCGGTTTGATCCCCTGAACACTGCCAGGAACCCCCCTGAGCACAGAGCCAGGAGTGCTGCAAAGGTGTGGCTCAAACTGCTCAAGCCCCCCCCCCCCCCAAAAAAAAAGCTATTGGGGCTGGAGCGATAGCACAGCGGGTAGGGCGTTTGCCTTGCACGCGGCCAACCCGGGTTCGATTCCTAGCATCCCATGTGGTCCCCTGAGCACCGCCAGGAGTAATTCCTGAGTGCAGAGCCAGGAGGAACCCCTGTGCATTGCCGGGTGTGACCCAAAAAGCAAAAACAAAAAACAACAACAACAAAAAGCTATTAAGGAATAAGAAATAATTGAGACTACTAATTCACCCTATCCAGAGAGAATCCAGGGGAATTTGCTGGGAATAATCTGCCTTGAGACACACGGGGTGGTTCGACACAGGATGAAGACAGAATCGGTTAGATCCCTCTACCATGTCCACCGGGCTTGGGGGAAAAAAAGTGACATTTCTTCCCAGTCTGGCTTTAGCTCTCCCTAATAGAAATGATGCAAGAGGCACTTCCCATTCTCCAGACTTGGAGCCTGATTACACACACACAAAAATAAACAAACACAAACATACACACAGAGACAGAGAAACTGCTTTGGCCTTGGGCAGAATCTCACAAGTAACGGAACTGTGGGCAGGTAGGCAGGCAGACACAGATGTCTTCTCTGACCTAGACACTGCCGTGGTCTTACGGGTGACACTGGGCACATCTCTGTCCTCGTTAGGCCTGTTTCTGTAGCCTCTCTCTCTAGACGGGAGGGGACGGGGCTTACATCAGGCCCTTCTCTTGCCAGTGTCACCCAGCCAGCCCTGGCGATGGCACACAATGACCGCAAGAGGGCAGGCGGCCTCTACCACTTAGAATTTGTCGCCCAGGGCCTTCAAACAGGAACCGAGGTTTCCAAGGGCGCCCGACAAAATGGCAATTCGGGAGGAATCAGAAAATGGTTTTTGAATTCCTAGGTCCCAGGAAGGTCAGGAATACCAGAATCAAGAAAGTGGGGAAGGGGAGGGCTGCTGGGGGCAAGAGCTGAAGAGGCCAAGCACTTTAGAGGGATTCCAATCCCTTGAGGGACCGGGAGGGAGAGAGAGAGGCGCTTTATTCATTTTTGGGTTGGGGGCCACACCCAGCGGTGCTCAGGGCTTACTCCTGGCTCTGTGCTCAAGGATCACCCCTGGTAGGCTCGGGGGAACCATGTGTTGCTGGGGATCAAACCCAGGTCAGCCACATGTGAGGTCAGCCTACTACCACTGTCCTATAGCTCTGGCCCAGGCGAGTTTTAAGGAAAAGCCACAGACTGAATTCCGTTGCTCCAAAGGGATCGGGGCTGGAGGCTGCAGAAAACTAGGACTTCTTCCCTGCCCCAGAGTGGGACGAAGATAGAGAAATTGCAGGAGTTATTCCAGGATTTGGGGAAGCCTTCTTCAACTCGAGAAGGCCAAGGAAATAGCCGAGGATCACCTGAAACTCCTTACTGACCATTTCACCTTCCAGTAATCTGGTTTCAGGTTACACACCAGGAAACACAGGGAACAACACCTGCGAAATAAACTGGGGTTCATACAGTTAACCTCCAAGAATTCACTCTCTGACATCGGACACAACCAAGTCCCCTCCCACCCTCTCTCTGGGTTGTCCCTTTGTTAAACCCCAGGTTGGCACCGGCTGTTAATTCCTACTTCGGTTTGGTTTACGAGAGCTCTGGAACTCAGAGCCTAATCCCTCTCGTACCAGGAGTCCCCGGCTTGCTCGGAGACAGGCAGGAAAGACCTCTCCGTTTGGCTCCCCTCTCCCGGGATGTGGGCCCCAGGACCAAAGCGCCTCTGTCTCTCCCTGCCACACCCCGCCCCTCACTGTGACCCAAACAAGGGGAATGTTTGTGTCGCGGCCACCAGCAGAGTCCCTGTGACCACATGATGGAAGGTCTGCGGAGGAAGGGAAGAGAAATCACAGGATCCGGAAAGACACTGTCCCTTGGAGTTTTTGTTTATCTGGACTTTTGTTCTTTGTCTTTTTTTTGGGGGGGGGAGGTGTGCACACCCAGTAGTGCTCCGGGTTCACTCCTGCCTCTATACACAGGGATCACTCCTGGCGGTGCTCAGGGGACCATAGAGGGTCCTGGGGGTCGCACACAAGGTAAACAACTTAACCCATGCTCTCTCTCTCTCTTCTGCACACCCGGAAAGCTTTAAGACGTCAAGCTTCACCGTGCTTCTGGTCCCCAACAGTGGAGAGAGAAGACTGGGAGTGTCATCTGCATATGAAAGGCCGGAGGCCCAAGGTGGAAAAATGAGAAGGGTTAGGGACACAAAGGCAGCCGGATCTGGAGCCAGAATCCGAGAATGGGGGCAACCCACAGCCAGACAGGGCTGGGGCAGAGTAAGGAACTGGTCCGTTTCTTCCCTAACAGCCCTGCTGTGGAACCGCTGGACCAGTAAGGGGTGTGGCCATGGAGGAAGGGAGCCCCCCCTTGGATAACATAAGGGCGTTTGTAAAGTTAAGAATGTTTCAGAAAGGGTGGAGTTCATGCCCAATTCAATCAGCCTAATCGGTGGCTGAATAAATAGCACTACTCCTACATCTAAAAAAAAAAACCAAAAAACAAAAAACGTTTCAGAAGGGGCTGGAGCGACAGCACAGCGGATAGGGCATTTGCCTTGCACACAGCCGACCTGGGTTTGATTCCCAGCATCCCATAGGGTCCCCTGAGCTTCGCCAGGAGTGATTCCTGAGTTCAGAGCCAGGAGCATCGCTGGGTGTGACCCAAAAAGAAAGAAAGAAAGAAAAGAACGCTTCAGAAAAGAAGTACATTTGACAGAATCTTTCCTGCCAAGATGGATAACATATTCCTCCTTGTTAGAAGCGTATGAAGAATGGTGTCATGTAGGGGATTCAGACACCTGCAAGCAAAACTAATCTATTACCCCTCAAAGGGCTCTCAGAGGGAAAGGCTATGAGGGATGATCCTGGCAGGAAATGACGTCATTCACTGGACTGGTAGGGGAAGTGGGTCTACCAGCCCAAGGACTTCTGGGAAGGCCGATTCATGGCAGCTTGGACCTGAGTGTCCGTGTCCCTTGCAATCTTGGTCAAGAGAGGGATCAAGGTTCCTAGACGCGGACGAGGTAATTCCCCTCCTACTGTCTTCATCAGTGGTCCCCTAGGGGTCTGAAGCCCCTCAAATTCTCACCCAACTGGGGAGGAAGGGGTAGAAGTACCAGGAGCCACAGGTCTAACCTCTGGAGTCAACACCTCTGTGGGAACAGCTTTAGGGACCCGACATGGAGGGACAAAGGCAGAACCTCTTCTCAGGCCCCGGAGGAAGGGCGAGACCAGGTTTCCATAGCAACCCATCCCCCAGCCGCCTCTTCCTGGTCCCAGATCGGGGAAGACAGAGAGATGTGAGGGAGGTCAGGGCTGAGTGATGGAAGGGCCACACGCTTATAGGAAGGTCACATCATCCTGGCACTGCTCCCAGTACCACTGGGCCTCGAAGCCCAGCTTGGCCTGCTCCTCCTCGGGGGGCTCGGCAGCCCCAGCTGGCTGCCCCTCGCCCGGGAGCGTCCATGCGGCCCTCAAGCTCCCCAGCTTGGTGGCTGTCAGCTCCACCTCAGTCCTGGCCCTCTCCCCGCTCGGTAGCACCTTCGCCCAGTCCCTCTCGGAGCGAGGCACCCCCAGGGGGGCCTGCTCCTCCAGCTCATTCGGGGTCACTGTGTCCAGGAAGCTGCCGATGGAGACACTGTCCAGCCGGTCGCCAGAGCTAGCGTCCGGCAGGCTGTCCCAGCTGCCTCGCCGCGAGCGGCCGGGGCTCCCGCCCGTCAGGCTGCACTGGCTGCTGGTAAGGCTGCTGCAGCGGCTGGTCACCGTGCCCCGTTCCTCCAACAGCCACCGCACCGCCTCGATGCCCTCGTTCAAGGTCACCAGCTGCTGCAGGATCTTCACGTCGATGGCTCGCAGGTAAGCCTGGAGGAGTGGGAGCAGAGGGGGGAATGAGCGCCAGGGTTTGGACGCTGCGTTGGCACTATCGAGCAGGAGGGCGGGGGCCAGGGGTGGAGCCCAGGGGCAGAGCTCTTGCTTTGCTCACGAGAGGCCCCGCACTCGGTCCCAGCACCACAAGATGTAAAGGAATAAGGCTGGAGAGATGACACAGGGGTTCGGGTGCTTGCCTTGTATCCCGCTCACCTTGCTTTGAATCCCTGGCCCTGCGTATGGTCCCCCGAGCACAGTCAGGAATAACCCCTGAGCACTGTACACAGCCACTCCAAAACCTTTTTCTTTTGAAAAGTAGATATATAAGACGTTTGAGCGATAGTACAGCGGTTAGGGTGTTTGCCTTGCATGCGGCCGACCTGGGTTCGATCCCTGGCATCCCCTATTGTCCGCCCAAGCAGTGCCAGAAGTAATTCCGGAGTGCAGAGTCAGAAGTAACCTCTGAGCATCGCTGGGTGTGACCCAAAAAGGAAAAAATAAATTATGGGAAGAGAATGGTTTGGGGCATTGGTTTAGAAGCAGACATTTAGGCAGGGTTGTGGCTCAGTGGTAGATGTGAGGCCCTGGGTTCAATCACTGTCACAGACTCACAGACTCACACACACACACACACACACACACACACACACACACACACACACACAAAGGGCTGGAGGGCCCGGAGTGATAGTACAGCAAGTAAGGTGTTTGCCTTGCGAACCCAGGTTCAATCTCCGGAATCCCATATGGTCCCCTTAGCACTGCCAGGAGTCATTCTGAGTACAGAGCCAGGAGTAACGTCTGAGAATTGCTGGTGTGGCCAAAAAAGCGAGGGGGGGGTGGAAGGAGGCAGGACATGACATGACTGCCCCCAGTGTGGTCCCCAGCACCACACAGAGTTCCCCAAGCACCACCAGAAGTGATCCCTGCATACAGAGACGGGAGTAAGTCCTGAGGCCCGTAGGACTTGGCCCCCAAGCCAAAAGCAAAACAACAAAAAAACACCCCCGATAGATCGCTATTTAAAATCTTCTCTCTAGGGACCTGTAGACAGCTCAGAGGGCTGAGCACATCCTTTGCATGCAGGAGCCCAGGCTCCATCCTTGTCACTGCACTTTCCCCTGAGTATGTGAGGAATGGACCCCTGAGCATTTTGGGGTATGGCCCCCAAACAAAATAAAATTTCCACTCTAGGCTGGAGAAGTAGCTCACCCTTTACAAGCATGAAGGGAGCCTGTGTTTAATACCTGCCAAAATTCATAATAAAATCTTAGCCCTATCACTGATTAGCTCTCTGACTGAGCATAAACTTCTTTCTTTCTTTCTTTCTTTCTTTCTTTCTTTCTTTCTTTCTTTCTTTTGTTCCTTCCTTCCTTTCTTTATTTTGGGGGGGCTACATCTGGGAGTGCTCAGGGGTTACTCTTGGCTCTGCACTCAGGAATTACTCCAGGTGGGGCTCAGGGGACCACATGGCATGCCAGGGATCGAACCCAAGTCAGCCACGTACAAGGCAAATGCCCTGCCTGGTGTACTGTAGCTCCGGCTCTGAGTATAATTTTATTATCTTCTTTGAACCTCAGGGAAGACAAATTCTTCCTTTGTAAAATAGAGCTAAATAATTCTCCCAGGATGTGAGAATTTTTTGTTTGTTTTTGGGCCACACCTGGCTGTGACAAGGATTACTCCTGGTTCTGCACTCAGGGGACCAGATGGGATGCTGGGATCGATCGAACCCAGGCTGGCCGCATAGAAGGCAAGGGCCCCTCCCTGGGGTGGTGGGATCAAATCTAAGTTGGTCGGGGCTGGAGCGATAGCACAGCGGGGAGGGCGTTTGCCTTGCACGCAGCCGACCCTGGTTTGATTCCCAGCATCCCTTATGGTCCCCTGAGCACCGCCAGGACTAACTCCTGAGTGCAGAGCCAGGAGTGACCCCTGTGCATTGCCAGGTGTGACCCAGAAAGCAAAAAAAAAACCCAAAAATCTAAGTTGGTCAAGTGCAAAACGAGTGCCCCACTTGCCATGCGGTGATGGGGCCCTGAGTTTTGTACTTGATAGGCAAGATATTAGCTATTGATTTCATCCAGCTTTACCAGTAAGACTAAAACAAGGGCTCAAACAGCTCCAAAGGCTGCTTTGCCTGGTGAAGCCCCAACCCATTCCCTGACACCCCCATCACTGCTGGGTGTGCCTCCCCCAAACAAAACAAAACAAACCGAAGAAATAGCCAGCCAGGTGTTAATTGGGAAGTAAACTGGAGCAAAACGAGGCAGAAACTGGGGAATAGAGAGCTAAACCCTGGCCCTCTGGAGTGTTGGTGGCAACTGCCGGGGGAGCAGGGTTGGCCCAGTTCCCACGGGCGGGAGATTCAGGCTTCCTGCCACCACGCTCATCCACCTGTCAGCATTGGGGTAAGTTGGACTTTGGGTAACCTCTCTGGTCCCTGCTGGCTCTGGTGCGTTTATTCATCCTCCCCAAGCACAAGTCTGGACCTGTCCCTCAGCCGCTCACCAGCCCTTAAGGGCTCTAGACCACTTTGAGTGAAAAAAAATCCAGACACTTCAGAGCTGACATTCAAAAGCCTGTCACAATACAGCTCTTAAAAAATTGAAAAAATCGGGGCTAGAGCGATAGTACAGTGGGTAGGGCATTTGCCTCGCTTGTGGCCTGCTTGGGTTTGAGCCCCAGCACCCTATGTGGTTCCCCAAGTACCCGACCAGGAGTAATTCCTGAGTGCAGAGCCAGGAATAACCCCTGAACATTGCTGGGCATGACTCCCCCCCAAAAAAAAAATCGTTAATTTTGTTTATTTTTATCGTTGTGAGAGACACTCCCGGCAGTGTTCCGGGGTCAATAGGGCTAAACCAGGTGGAGCTCTGAAGGGGCCATTATGGGCTGGGAACCAGAGCCTGGGCTGTCCAGGGCATGTGTTCTAACCACAGAAGGCTCCTCTTGCGCAGATCCCTGAGAACTTAAGGGCCTGACGTCACTTTTAAGGGGCAGAGTTGGTTCAGGCAGTTGTACACTCGGGCTGGTCCTTGGGGGCCACCCTGGTGGCCTGAGGGTGCTGGCATGCGGTGCCAGGGATCAGACTCAGGGCCTTGCACATTTCAGGCATGGGAACAGACTCAGCTTGACAGCAGGCAGCGATGCAGAGCCCGGTCTTCCCTGCTGTGCCTGGAGCTCGTCGGCTTCAGCAGAGTGTACGTGACGGGGCTGAGAGGTGTCTGTCCCCGCGAGGATGCCTCCCTAGCCTGGGCCATTCAGGCAACTGTGCAGCCTCGCCTTTGTCTCAAGAGTTACTTATGGGGGGCCGCGCTAGCATGGGACCCAGCATCTCCCCCGTTTCTCTTATGAAAACATTCCTGGTGGGGTTGGGGAAACAGAATAGCAGGAAAGGCACTTGCCTTGCACGCAGCTGACCTGGTTCAATTTCAGGCACCCAGTACAGTCCCCTGAGCCTGGCCAGGAGCACAGCAGGGCCTAAGTACCAAAATTAAACATATACGTATATATGTGTATATAATTAATTGCTGTGTCCTTTAAAAAAATCTCAACACTTGAGACAGCACGCTGGCCCATATTTAGTTTTACTTGGTTCTAGGCCGTGCGCAGTGGTGACCATGGCTTAGTCCTGGCACAATGATGGGGGACCCTGTGTGACGCCAGTGATCAAACCTGGGCTCAGCCACATGCCAGGCAAGTGCCTTACCTGGCATACTATCTCTCCTGTCCTGTTTTTGGTTTTGTTTTTCCCTCCCTTTTTGTTTTCTGGCCAGGCTGAGTGGTGTTCAGGGCTTACTCCTGGCTCTGTACTCTGGGATCACTAGCAGGGGTTGGAGAGCCATATGCAGCGTCAAAGATGGGAACCCTGGTTCTAGTCTTCTCTAGCCCTGTCTAATTCCTTCTGAAACGTGTCTTAGGAGCTGGAGCAATAGTACAGCGGGGAGGGCATTTGCCTTTCATGTGGCTGACCTGGGTTCAATCCCTGGTATCTCATATGGTGCCCTGAGAATCCCCAGGAGTAACCCCTGAGCATCACCGGATATGACCCCAAAATACCAAAAACAAACAAGCAAGCAAACAAAAAAACTTACTTTCAAGTCTTCCCCTAGGATAAAGAGGAGCTGCTGGCACCCAGTCACCCAGTTCCCTCACACTAAGAGGCATGTTAGAGTATGAATTCTTTAAAAAAAAAAGTTTTATTATTATTATTATTATTATTTTAAGATGGTTGACTCTTTTTCAGTTAATACATTCCTTGATTTTTTTTTGGCTTTTTGGGGTCACACCCGGTGATGCACAGGGGTTAACTCCTGGCTCTGCACTCAGAAATTATTCCTGGCGGTGCTCAGGGGACCATATGAGATGCTGAGAATCGAACCCGGGTGGGCTGTGTGCAAGGCAAACACCCTCCCCGTGGTGCTATCACTCTCGCTCCCTACAGTCCTTGATTTTTCCGCTTGTATGTTTTGTTTTGGGACCTCACTTAGTGATGCTCAAGGATTACTCCTGGCTCTGCTCAGGTATCAATCCTGAGATACATTACTCATCTAGCAATCCTGGTGGTGATCAGGGGACCATATGACATGCTGGGGATTGAACCCGGGTCAGCCGCGCGCAAGACAAGAGTCTTCCCTGCTGTAACATCTCTCCAGCCTCCTAATACACTTAAAAAATATATTTTATTTTTATCAAGTTGTTCACAATAATTTATTACCTAATACACTTTTTGAGAACCTGAACTAAATTAGAGAAACTCCGAGCCACTACTTTTGCAGCAGTTTTAAAGGCAGTCATGTAGAAAAACATAAATATATATTACCTTCTTAGTATTGTAAATATTGTGAATTAAACATGAAAACAGAAAGTTTTCAGTGATGATTTCATTTGAACTAGCATAATTTAGTGTTTACTTTTGACTTCAATGACTACAAAAATCAAAATAAATTCTGCTTTTGATTAGGGCTTACTTGAAGTAGTTCTGAAATATAGCA